CGGCCGAATTCAAAAGCGCCGCTACCATATTCCTAGATATTCTAGTCTAGATATCCTATATATATCCTATTCTAGATATTTCCTTTCCTTTAACATTCGAGCTACACATGAGCAGTTGACGGATATATTCCCGTAACTGTGTGAACAATCGAGTTTTTACTGCATCTTTATTTTATAAATTATTAATGAAAACGAATCCGTAACCCATTCATCAGTCTTGCTGAAGTTAATTTGTGGATATACGGAGAAACATTACTCCACACAAGTTAGTTAGACTTGCGTAACAATGCATTCTAGAACACAGATAATGGAAGCAAATCTTAGCGATGCCTTCCCAAAGAACAAATTTCAGCAGTCACCAACATCTTTATCGTACTGTTGCGATGCCTATAGTGTTTAGCTCCGAATTCCGTCCAGCCGAATAGGGGTTATCGTGAGAATACAACAGGCGATTACCTGTGGACTGCGTGCAGATATGTCGATTTAGATGCTACATCTCAGATCCGATTTCCCTTAGCCGACTCTATTATTGTAATCTACAGTCGCATACTTTGTCAGCCCATTGATTTATTACACTCGTGAGGTTTGATGGAAAAATTTAGATAAATGGTGTTCCTTGAGGGTATTTTAGGTTTTTATAATCACCTATGAATAAAGCGGATACCTTTGCAGAAAAATCGAAGCACTTTGTCGGGACCAGTGAAACGTTTTGATTTCGATCTTGTCTTTTGGCTGGCAGTGACTGTCAGTTGATCACAGGAAAGCGTTTTGTGGCTGTTTATTGACGCTCCCTATCAAATTCTGTCTGGCAAAGTTCTTGAGCCACTGAAAGGTATAGCACTCTACGTTCAGCAATCCACCACCTATAGACAGTTTTCCATTCGATGGATTTCGTCAACAGGTTCCCGGTTCTACTCAGGTGTTAGTGCGTGCATACATCCTGAAAATGAACTCTGAATGATCACTACCTTTTATTGTTTGTTGCATGACTAAATCGATGGGTTTGAGTAAGTGAAAGTGCATAGCTCGGCCAATCATTGCAGCAATACGCGTCTTAATTTCCATGAAGGTGAGCATTCAAAACCACGTCTTACTTTTGCCTAACACCGAACGTGACATGTAAAGAGATTGTGCTCAAGCAAAAATATAAGAGTCATAAGTGGAAGCGAAAAGTGGTGGGTTAAATTTTAATTTTTAGAACTAAGGGGATATTGTACTGCATGGTGATGATCGAGTTTTTTTCCCCATCTGACCATGTCCTCTTGGCATCTGATCCTAGGAACGTTGTACTGTGATCAATGGTCCACCGAAAATAGGAAAACTATTGGCAACACAAAATGACCATATTTTGTCAAATGTCTATTCTGGTGTCCAATTCGAATCCATCCATACTGATTTTCCTGTTCGAAAACCTTTTGATTGCGAGCTCCTAACACAGATTATGTTACTTCGGTGAACGCTAGACTAAGCGTATTCTTTAACATCTTAGTGCAAATTACTGTTAGACGGTCTCTTTGGGTCCGTCGAAAAAGTAAAATAATCACTTTTATCTAGCTACTTTAGTGGTGACAGCGTATTCAATGATGGAAGAATATCAGGCACACTTGTCTCATCTACATAGAAAACCCTATTGAGTTGGTCGTTCTCGGCCATCTGCATCGTGTGATTAAAGTCCGTTTATTGATTGGTTAACCTTAGCCGAGACACCAAAAAGCGCTGTGGGTTCTAAAATCGCATTATAGAGGATGTGTTTAAAGCACCTGGAGTTGTGGATCAAATAATTGTGTGGATTCAGATTTTTGACAGATTATACACCACATAATGGACAAATCAGCACCCCCCTCACCTATAATGCGTGTTCGAACCCTCTTCCTTCAGTCTTCATCGCCTTGTCCTCACACCGATTAACACCCTACGGTGACCGTGATTACCTTTTCACTATGGGCAGCACAATTATCTTAAAACAAGTAAACGGAAATAAAAGCATACCATTATAACTGAATATGTGGGGGACACATAAAGGAGTTGAAAGTGCTTAAAGAGATTCGTGACTTAGTTCACATCTCTCACTACTCATAAGAATAAATACTATTGGTAGTGAATAATTGTTCACGTGATTTACACAATCTTTTCTAAAATCCAAAACCAAAGGGTTCCGTCAAGTAAACAAATTTTGGTTGAACTATGTGTAGCTACCTATGGGACAATCAAAGCGATGCATACAAATGTAGGAATGAACAAATTTAGCGTAATTTCATCAACACAAAACTCATTGGATTGAGACCCGAGTGTATTACTTCGGAAAATTTTGGTACACGGCAGTGGCCGGGTTTTGCTCACTGATGAAAACACAACGGGAATGAGAAAAAATATTTGTTTCAGAAAACATCTAATTCATCCGGTACAAACCTGTTTTGGATACACAAACAGAAACCACTGCATGCAAGAATACCTTGGTTTTAAAACTGATGCTGTGGTGTTTGGGTGAAGAAACTCTCAACCATACTTCGCGATTAATCAATTGTTCTGCATGGGCTTTAGCTGTAGAAGCAGACGCAGTGGAAAGGTCAAGATATTTAAGGGAACCGTTTAGTGAATTACCGATATACTAAACTATATTCCAGTGGCTGAGTGACTCTTAGGTATGAACTCCAAATTAAAGAACATATTGGTATACGCCTTCTGAGGGAACCAATTATGTAAAAGAATATTTCAGGAAGATGGAAAAGCAATTTTTGAAATACAGTTCTACTGAATAAACTGCCACCTTGGTAGTAACATCTACAATGCTGGCCGAAACTATCGATTTGACAACATAGACAATTGCAAACCCTACCAAGATACACCGAACGATATTCTATGTATATATATATTGCGCTATTATTCATCGTTACTGACCATCTTTCACAGTTCTGCTTAAGATAACCCTGTAAATCGAAAACTCGGAAAGCATTATACAATTTTTGGAAATATTATTATGTAAAAAGATTCCTAACTTCCTCTCCAAAACTTAGGCTTCAGTAATGAAAATTTGGGTTTGGACGGAGACCCAATGAATAGTGCAAAGTTGTGTAGAATCCAGGAGAAGCTGTAGACACGGTTAATTCTATTCAAAAACGTCCGCCAGTACCACAAGTTTCAATTTATATATAGATATATATATATATTTAACATCGCCTTGAGAACAAGCATGGTGCCATAGCCATACCAATGTTAACAATAAAAATAACGCTAGCGGAAAGGGTGGGATACAGAATATAGGGAAAAAGACGTAAATGTCAGAATAGAAGATTACGAATAAGTGGAATAACAAATTTTTTGTTTCATCGTACACTTTTGGAAATTTTTCGTTGTTTGTTATTTTTACGGGGCACGGGATTTCGACAGACAGAGCGTGCCTAATTCGCACCACTGACTGCTATTCCGGGCCGTATCTCTCAGCGTCTCTCACAGTGATTTATTCACGGTATCAGTATGATCCACCTGCTGGCCTCCCCGCATTCCTCTGCGCTCTCGGGCTGAATGGGTATTGCCGCCCGAACACCCTCATCAAGAGTAACTATTTAACAATTTATCCTGATTTAAGATGTGATCTTAATGTTGCACTGATCAAGGCTTCTAGTTTACCAATGATCGTTCAGATTCGATAAAATCATGACACGCGGGAATCAATATGGAAGCATCATGCATTTCGAATAGTACGATTATTGTAGTTAAGTGGCGTTTCTTTACCCGACAGTTTTCCCCCCCCATCCAAAGTTTCATGGTTGATTCATCCACGTGATTATGATATTATAAGCATAAACCAAATTCATTAAATACTAGCATTGCAGGCAGCTGCATAGGTTTATTTACACATATGACCCCGACCGCTACCGAAAAATGATTGAAACACCATAGGTCAACTTAACTCTTCACTTACCCTCCTTCAAGATGAGTAACCCTTACTCCCACTTGGTTACTGTCAAATGCATCGTGAGTTATATCACAGCAAAATAATGCCTGAAAGTGATCTTTGATGGAAAACACCTGAATAGAAATGGCAACCTCTCAATTCCTGAAAGGCAGTTTTCCTTTTCTTATTATAGTGCATAATTCCCCACAGAGTACTCTGCATCGCACGCATTTCCTTCTATGATCGGATCTACTCAGTTTTCAACTTCCACTAGCTTAAGCCAGCAGCAATTAGTTTAAAAACCTTAGGGTCTCTGACAATATACTTTGTCAACTAACCCACCTGGGTTCTATCTTCACCGCAAGGGTAACAGGAGTGGAGTTGCGAACACTTATTGGTGGAAGGCTCTGATCCACATCAATGATCTAGTACCCACTAAGTTCTGACACATTTAAATTTCGTTCTTCACTCAAATGCATCTGGTCGATATGCCATCGATGTGTGGTCGCGAACATTAGATAAGTGATTTCCACACCTTATCCAAGTTTTCGATGACTCCTTGAACAGGGTAACAATCGTGTCACTGGAATCCATGCAACTTAGAGCAAACCTCGAACACAGATCGTAGGCGATCGTGTTTTCAGTGCCAAGGGCTTTACCTTCAATGCTATTAAATGGATTCAGTAGAGGAATTAAAAATCTTTATTCCAAGTGGTGGCCTAACTATATCTATTCGGGTTGATAACCATTGTAAAAATCGTCTCAATCAACATAATGTTTTGTTCGGACGGCCTCAGTTGAACCAAAACATCGAAATCACAAAAAAGAATGAAAACCGATTTCAAATAAGTTGGATTACTCAACGTAATTAGCAAGAAAAAGAGGAAATCAAAATATTCTTGCTTCACATAAGCAAAGAAAAAACAATTCACCTGAATGACAGCCGATGGGAATAGTGTGATAATAATCACGTGACGACCCGTTTAGATGTCGTCCATGCGCACATGCATGAAAGAAGCATAGATAACATGAAGGATGACAAAGAGAACATAAATCCAGTCACACAGAACTATCTGCATGATCTCAATTGATGAAGAGAAAACACTCATCGATTGCAATTGTTGGTCACATGTGCCTTAGCCGGTCCAAGAGCCACTTGTCTGGCACTAGCTCCAAATTGTAAGGTTGACAGGGTCTCGGACAGGCTACTCAAGTCTGTAGTGACATTGACAATTAAGCAGGTCTGAAATGAAAGCGTCAAATAACTCATCAGAATAGCAATGGTAAAGAAGCGCAGCATGTATTATTGAAATAGGGACGTCCCATACGATAGATTATTGGTCAATGTTACTGGGAATCTTATGGCATCCATTTATTACCGGTCACCTGGATATACAAGAAAATTTTCAATAGAATGCTCAAGCAAGAGCCCTATGGGTTAAATCACGATGAAATACTGGTGACGAAAGTATTGCCTGCCAACAAACATGGGTTACCTGAATTGAGGTGATTGATTATCACACTTTGCACATCATTTAACAAACATCGTGGTTAATATCACACACGATTCCCAGGTTTGCAAAACCGAAACAATCACAGCCTAAAAACATCAGACCGCCCTCTTTAGAATCCAAAAATGCTTATTCGGGCTTGAGGCTTGCTGTAAACAAACAAGAGGAAAATCAACGGAACGGTCCGAAGGTACACTAACGACTTACTTGAGATACAACCCGTATTTAAACACTCATTATATCCCTAGGCACAGCTTGACACAATCGGAAAAACAGATCAAACATCACAAATAACCCTGTTGTCGGATTTTGGACAAACAGTTTGCTTCTTTTCTGCATTGTCTTATTTTAATAGTGGATAATTTTCTACCGGTTAAAACTCATCTATTATGGATTCATCACCAGCATTCAATCAAGTCAAATACTGATTTGTCAACTGCGGTTTTGATCGGGTTCGGTATAAAAGCTCGAAAGCATAAACTGACATTGTGGTGCATAAAATGCGCTCACTAAATTGGTCGGGATAAATTAAAAAATTCATTAAAAATATTCTTTCATTACCCATTCGAGTTGAAGGACCGCGTGCTTCTTTCACTTCAGCACACAATCCCCAACAGAGATAACACTATTATCGTCATTTCACAAGGTTATACATGGATGAAGCTATCTCTGTCTGCGGTGATGGGCATATCACACAACGAGAATATATAGTCAATGGCAGCTGTTGTAAGTAACGTACTTTTGCATCTCCACCGAGACAAGGTTGCAACATCTGCGTCAATTTGGTGTTCCGATAAGGAATGTGAAGCTGGTTATTGCGAAGAGCCACAAAAACCTGGAGAGATCACACACACACACACGCGCAACGAATGAATCCCATATGACAGAAACTAATCAGGAAATTGCTTCGAGGCAAACAAAATACTACTGCGCCTGCCTAATTGGATTATTCAAACTTTAACGTGTAATATGACACTGCTAGCAAAAAATGAGAAATCTATTCTACCGGCACAAATCAAGCTCTAAACTGTTCAGCTGCTTAGGACTGTGGTCACAATAACAAAAACCAAGCCAAACGCACCAGTATACTCTATAACCATGTGGTTAACAGGTAAAAGTTTGACGAACAAAATCTTCATTGGTGTTGTAGAGCCACTAGATTTAGCAATGAAAGCACCCATTCTGTGTGGCATAAACTGTTGATCAAAAGAGAAAAAAACCTCACTCTAACAGGTCATACCACTGAGTAATCTACCGAATTGTTATTATTCATTGGTAACTGAAACCGTGCTTCATCGCTCTACACGATATTGTTTCATGTCGGCTCTTCTTTCATTGCAGTCGGTTATTCAAAGTATTTGACCGATTGTTGCACATGCAAACCAGAATTGTTCAACACTCCTCATGGTGTATTCCTAAACCGACGAAATCACGTTCCTGACTAAGGGTGACGCCAGTAGAAAATGTTTTCTTCAAAGACATCTCTAGTTGTCGCTTGCCACACACGTTTGACCCATACCAGAGAGAATGCAATATGTACCGGGATATTTGTTTCATCTAATAGGAAACTGTATATGTTAATTTGTATGGTGCATTCGATATCAAAACGTCAGACCTCCCGATTTTCCGCACACCGATGACCTGAAATTGTTCAAAAGTCTGACGAAAGCAATTTAATATGCCTCTTAGTTTATCATGATTTTTCTTAAAACTTTATTTAGGGTTTCTGAATTCCAACGGAAGTGTCAACACAGTGGAGAACAAGTAATGGCTATTGATAACTTGGGTGGTAAATCTGTTTTGCTGGCATATGTATAGTTCCCCAACAGTGAACATAAATCGCAAGAAGCATGGCAGCATAGTGTATGTAATAGTAGACAATCTTGTTTTGCACATTCCAATCATCATGTTGGTTAACCGGAAAAATTAGATAGCAAGAAACCCCATGTGCAGTAGTTCTGCAACTGATTCAAATTATTTGGACTTTGTAGATTATAGTCCTTCTGATTTCAGACTATCTGCAACAGACGAAGGCGGATTCACGTGACTGTTAACTTATTCAGACTATCCACATCAAACACGTTGAAGGAGTAACTTACTTGGGCCAAAGCGGACAGAGACAGATTGATGTGAGTTGCTTCGGTAAATCGTTCACCGGAGGTGACACCCGATTTTTCAACGCGCTCCGAGCCGGCTAAATCACAGAGAGTAAGCTGTCCACGACTGACTGCTCCAGAGATTTTATCCGTTCCAACAACACACACGGATACGATTAGATGTGATCGAGAGCTGTGAAGTAAGAAAACCAAAATAAAGGATGTAAGTAACACTCCACAAACTACGGTGATCACGTTGAAAACGCGTCGATTAACCGTAATAGGTTCTGGTTGATCATGAAATCAGGAGTGGAAGTCAAATGCATGAATCCAAAGGGGTTGCTTTATTTATTTGACATTTAACATTTGATTGTACATTCGAATTAAGCCCCGACCTTGCCATCGTTACGAAATCATCATTCTTTTACGATAAAAACGAAAACCAAACAATTGATATACAATAAAATGGAAGGATAAGAATGAGTATGAAACAGTGATTTCTACGGATGGAAAATGGAAACGGAGCTCAACAATAGAGGAATTGTATAATCGCTTTGATATTGTTTTTAAATACAGCAAAGCAGTGATCTCACAAGCACTTAAGATTTGTCAGGGAGATAAATCACTTCTATTGAAACTCCTCGGTTACTAGGAAAATAGCATAGACATCATAATAAAGTTAAAAATTATTTCTATGTCGAGTGTTAAGATTTCGACACGATACTTTGCGTTTCATATCACAAAATGAATGGGAATTACGTGAGTGTCCGACAAAAAAATTAAGTAGTTCTACTCAAATTATGTATTTGGATAGATGACAGATAGCGGTTCAATCTCCATGTCAAATAATACAGATTGGATCATATAAACTTAGATTAAAATGCATTAAATAATTACAAATGATTTAAATTATGGATACTGTCTGAATATGGAGATTTTATGATGTAAACCATGACTTCGCATGCAAACTGCTAGTTGCAGAATGATTTGTCTGTCCATTTACCACAGTACGCATTTCATTATTATCGTCATCTTCTGCTAACTTTCTCGGAAATGAACCGACTACCTATTAAAAAGTACAATACAGTCTATTAAAGCGAAGGCTGGATAAATCACTTCAATGGATCTGGCACGAGAGTAAATTATAAAGTAGCACAAAGAACATAAGGTCGCACCTTGACGAACTGATTACCGAAGTCCAAACTAGTTAGATATCTGAATAAGACAAATGTAGTTTAGTTTCTCAGCGATCCTACCTGCTCGAATTCAGCTTTGTTTCCGCTACATGTCTGCCCTTTTGTCCAAGGCTGATGGCCTGCTGCATATCTGCTTCGTTTTTCACCCGAACCCACGTAGCTCCAACGACGCTCACAGCGGAACCGGTATGTCGAATTTCCACGTTGTCACATGAGTTTGTCGGGCTCAATAAGTCCACTACATTTTCATTGTAGATTTCCACAATACTCATCTGAAGAAAGTCACAAAATTTGTTTTAAATATGCTAATTGACAAGCAGGTGGCAGATTTAACTACATGCAACAATGTATTTATGCTGGACGGGCCTTTTATTATTTCTATTGGAAAATTGAATCTTTCTTATACTTTGCACTGATGTCAGCCTTGACCACTGATAACACTCAAACGCTCGCCTCCTCTTCTTACGCGTCTTTATTGCTGTCATAAACTATCAATCATCATTCTTACATGTATGAAAAAACGAGACTCGATACATCTAGAAAATGTCTTCACCGGTTTCTATCTTGAATCAAAATTCTGCAGGTAGTGATAAAACACATGGCGAAAAAGTTATTTTTAATTGGTTTATGTTACGATAAATTGATGTATCAATTCATGAAGAATCCCGTCGTAGTCCCACCAGGAAACATTGGCGGTGCAAATGTACTAAATTCCACGGAAAACAAATTAGGAGGCTACTCTTTTCGAATCTGTAAAACCCTGTCTGTTTCCGGGCAGTAAAGAAGGACGGTTTATCCAGATATGTTAACAATGATTAGGTTTATCCAGTACGAATAGCATAGTGATGCAAGAAGTGCAACTAAGACTTCCATGTAACTGGCCTCGACAAATTCTATAATTCAAAATTAGGGTTCGCAATAGACAACGTGTTTAATGTTAGCTACTGTACCTGGTTTTGTTATTAAAATAAATCGCTTGAATACAATAACTCGGTTGCAAAAGTAAGTTCCGTTACTTCGAGTTTGAGGAATATGATTTTCGAATGAGACAGTTGTGATGAGAACAAATTTCAAGCTCCTTGATTCTTGTTAGGGTGGCATTATTATACTCCGCACTTGGACGTTGTGTGTGTGTGATGAATCCGTGTGTCTGCTGCATACAACGTAGCATGAGAAGCATCATTTTGGTCTGAACACTGTTTCGGTTTGTTTAAACCGAGGTTAAATAAACGACGATGATAAAAGACTGAAGAACAATTATAGAACCGCAAGGTGACATGAAAACCTATAGATAGATAGGTCAACTGAGCGGGTTCTATCGATCTATTGGTACCTGATGAAGCCTCACTTTCCCCCGACTACAGCTTAAAAATTTGTATTCAAAACGATTTAAATATACAAATAAATGATCTCTGAAATGTTATAAATCTTAGGAATTCCCAAGTCCAACTTTTAAATTTGGTACAGCACCCAAGAAAGTAAATCCATTTAATCGTTCTCTTCAGAATTATGGATGGTTTATTATGAGGTTGGGTGTTCACAACGAAAAGAAGATAAATGCAGGACACTAGACCCGTTAGATAACAAGGAACGAAGTCAGAATCAACTGGACAACAACACACTTACGGTAAGATCAAAGCTGACTTTCTGTCTTTCGTTTATGATGCGTAATAGCTCGCGTATTGAACTTGTAAAAATAGAATAGGAAACAGGACACACATCTAACTCAGGAAAATAGTGGTAAAATACGAACATTAGTATGATATGGGCCAGATTCCAACATAAAACAACTTCCAAAATTGAATGAAACCATGAATGAGAATAGTAGTGATCATGAAGGCTGGGTTAATTTTTGTTGTGCAATGACTATCTAACATTTACAGCTGCCAAAAAGTTTACCTAACGCTTCCGACTCCCACTAAATATTCCAATCCTGAAATTATCGGTCAGCAGAGAATAGTAAAGACCAACATTACAAATGGATAGCCACTTTTAATCATAAGAAAGTATTGGAAAATGTAAACAGGCTACCGTAGTAAACAAAAGCTACTGAACCATAAATAAGCACGTTCTTTGTGCAATATTTCTCTAACTTCACGGGTTTGGTGAATGACTACTTAACAGGATTCACGCCTACAGTTCATAAATCCAAGGAAACGAGTCAAAGATTTCAACCCAACGGACCTTCGGGGGGGGCATATCCAATTCGAATAGCAATAAAGCAATAAAGACAGAATTGCAGTATTTGACCTAAATTTGGTATTTGTATCCTAATCGTCGCTTAACGTATCTATTTTCTGAATTGTATTCAACTTCCAAAAGTGATGCACCATTCCTACTATTGAAAAAGTGTTAAACCTACAGATCAGATGTGATTACGAGGACAGTTAACGGTAACATATAAAAGAAGTCGATTGTGACAATTCTCGAGTGGATCAATGAATGCGGTTTTAAGCTACAAAAAACATCTGGGATAGAACAAGCGTCCAAATGCACTAAGGGGTGATGAAAAAATCCTCAATTGTTTATTCACCATATGCTTATGTCACTTTTGGTTGATTCCCTCCTATTGATGGTCGATTAACTCAAGTCAGATCAAGAACTTAATTTGTGACACCATCTAGTGNAGACTAATTTTACGGAGTTAACTCAATGCTGTGGAACATTCCCGGAAAATTCGGTGCGAGAGACATACAAATTGGGCAAGATAATGCACTACTGAGGAGTGGTACACTTTGAACATACTTGAATATGTTTGGACTTGGGGCGAGTAGAGAATATCCAAATACATCTATAGTGAGGTTAAGAAAGCGACAGGATTCAAACAGTACTTTGTGAGTCAGATTATCACAAAGGTATTCCGATCAATTATGCTAGTTCTGCCCTCCCCTGCTTTAACCTGGGCAAACTATCAGTATCGTGTCCTACAGAAAATCATGAACTGTTTTTCTTTTTATAAAGATTATTGTACTGATCATTGACCTGATTGGCCCACAGTCTGAACTCAGGCGTGTGTAAAAATAAAATATATATGAATTTGCCCAAACCAAAACACATGGATACATGTGTGGGGAGGCATGGATCTAGTGTGATAAGAAGGAAGCATGTATAAACTGTTTTATCACATTGGATGGATTGGGTAAGCGCCTTAGACGTAAGGTAAAAACGAAAGCTTTTAAAGTTTACAAAAATAGAATTGATGTGCTCAGATCAAGCAAGTAAGTGGTTAAGAATAACACCAAAGTATTCGACTGGTGCATCCGACTGAGTTTAGCTCAATTTACTCAACCATTTGCTATGCGTTTCCTTGCACCGGTTTTGGTTGCTGTCTTTTGGCTACCTCTTCGAATGAAGGGATAGGAGGAAAATTAGAAAAGGGAGCCGAAGAAAAAATAGATAATTCCGATAAAGTGAGGGATGTGCCTTTAATGAGTAGCGGCTGGTACATTTTAAGAGAATCAGAATATAATTTACCCTTACGGTGAGAAAAATAAAACTTCAACACATTTAGATGCGTTCATGAAATCGTTGTGTGTAGAAGACCACTCGTTTAGATGTGAGATACCAAGCTGGATAGTGGAGAGAACAGAGTTGTTTGGATAGGATAAGCTAAAGATAACTTCATCAGCATATTTCATCATTCAAGAGTAATTAAAAACAGGCATAGCATTTAAGTAAGTGTAAAAAGAAAGGAAACAAAACGGTTCCTTGAAGAACCCTGATTTGGAATTGAAGGCTGAGAAGACTTTGATACCGTACTGCGTAAAATATTTTCTAAAGGAAAAAATATTCACTTGGGAGGGAAATAGTAGGCGGAAGGACACGACGGTAAGCAAGAATAGACAGAATCCGAACACCATCAAAATTACCAAATGCACCTCCGGAGTCTGAAAACCAGACTCTTACAGCTTCATATTTATTATCGGGTGAGGAAAGAACAAAATGCACCAAGGAAGCTAGAGCATCAAGGGTTGAGGTTCTTTATTGAGCACTGATGGAATTCCGATGACGAATTTTTATTTTAAAATTTTTGATATAGTTTTCATCAAACGATAGTCAGTTTCAGTTTTCGGTTTGAACAACGATTAAGCATGCACCTTCGTGCGTCGCTTTTTGGTTGCTGTCTTTGGCTGCTATTTGGATAAACAACAGGAGGAAAACAGGAAGGTTGAAAGTAGATCGAAGAGAAAATTGAGAACTTCAGTGGACGAAGATTGCAAAGAAATTGAGAAGATGCAAGAACGCTGTTGTTTACGACTCCCAGCCATATCACTGAGTGTATCTAATCATCGGTTACGACCATCCCAAGGTTCCCATCCAAGGAGCCTAATAGGACCTATGTGAGCCAGACTCCTGGTAAAGGTATTCATACCCTCACGCCAGGTCTTAGGTTGACCACCTTTGGCTTTCTTCCACCCACTACCTCCCTCGGCGAACACCGCTCGCCGTGGCAACCTATTTGGTGACATGCGTAGCACATGTCTCAGCCNCCAGCAAACCTTATCTAAGGAGGTCATTTACTTGCCTCAGTGGACGACCGCGGTTGCCTAAAACTCCACGCTCAATCTCAGCATTTCTCGTCCGGCTACCCCACCAGATTCGTGCAATGCTGCGTAGACAGCGGTATTCAAACACCGACAGTCTATCTGCTATCTGCTACCCTGCTTCCTCAGTAGCCAAGTTTCTGCTCCGGATAGCAGAACTGGCAGAACTGCCGCAGCATACACTCGACGCTTCACAGACAACCGGATGCCGCGACGGCGCCACACATACCTCAAGTTGGCACATGCCAACCGAGCCTTTTGTATGCGAGCTGACACTTAATCCGTGATGCGTCCACCGAATGAGATGTAGATGCCCAAATAANAACAAAACTTATCCACTTGCTTTATTACTTCCCCAGTTTGAGTGAGGCTGGATGCTGGACCAACCCATTACAATTTTACACTTTGAAGGTGCAAAACTCATACCAAACATGAGTACGCTAGCATCCAAGCTATTCAGAAAAGCTTTTAACTTACCTGGATATTCACTTAGTAGCACAATGTCGTCTGCATACTCTAAATCGAACGATAGTCCTTAGATTTTAACATATTTCCTTTTTTCGACGCACTTATTTCAGAAGAGGGGAAGGAAAACGAGCACATTGGACGTAGTGTTTCCCACGCACAGCAAACATTGAAGCAGAAGTTGAGATACTAATTAAATCAAGACAGAAAGTAGATATGTAACGGTCAGAAAATAAGGAAAAGTTTGTCAAATCAAATTCTCGTCAGTTTCTCGGGGTAAAGTTGTCATCTTCGAAGCTTATAGTCTCGACAATGGGTATAAATTGTGTGATTAAAGGAGTTGAAAACCTGCGGAGAACTCTCAATAGTAACCTGGTCAGAGGACCCAATAAAATAAATACAGGAATGACAGATCTCGGTGTATTATTTGAGGGTCTAATGTAGGAAATAGTTTAATCGGACACGAGCATTCCATGAAAAAAACTGTATTTCGATTTTATGATGCACTTACAGTATATTCACTCCAGGCTTGTCTGGGGGTCCCTCCATTGTGTAGGTTTTCCCACTTCCCGTTTGTCCATAGGCCATGATGCACACATTGTATCCATCCACAGATGAAGCAATTATGTCGCATATCTCACTAAAGACCTATTCAATACAGAAATGCAAAGATAATTTGAACGTTTCGCTGTTTATGAGGTTGGGCCCAAATAATACCAAAACCTTTGTACAGAACACATGCAACATCAATCCATATAAATACATATATATATATATATATATATTTACCACCGGCTTGAAAAAAAGCATGGTNTGAAAACAAGCATGGTGCCAATGCAACAACAATGAAAGTGAAAGGGGATAGGTGGATTAAGATACAGAACATAGTGAAAATTGGGTGAAACAGTCAGCGCAATAATAATAATAATAATAAAAGAAAATGATGGGGCTGGGCTATTGAAGAGAACGGCATGG